CACACACACATCTCTCCCAAAAGGGGAGCGGGGATTACGTCCACAGTAGTCACCATAAACGAATTTGCATGGAATTTTAATAAGGCCAACAAATATTTTTTATTCCCCCTTTTTTTTGTCGGCTTTCGTTTATTTTTTGCCTGCCTTTATTTGATATTTTTCGGAGCCATTTTGTTTGCGTGCTGTGCTTTTTATATGATGTGACTCTACTTTTTTGTGTAGCCATACAAATAATCATAAAAATGGAATTGTGATGACAGGTAATCAAATAATTTGGAAATTGTTCTAGTTGCTGTTCTGTTGGCAGATTATATTAAATAAGTTACAAAGTTTTGAATTATAAGTATTCGACAACATCATTGTAGTTTTAATAGCTTTCACAGTCAGTAAATAAACATGATGTTAAATCTGATCGATATTCGCAAGAACGCTTATGTAGCTGCACATCAAGTGAAAGTCATAAAAAGGTTATGGCCAAGGCAATAACATTAGCCATGGTAAATCAGCAGCAAATAAGGAACAGCACTTAATTCAAATTTATAGCCCATTTGTCTTGCAGCTTTGCTCCCGCAACCCATTTCAATCGTACCCAAAAGTATGCTAAGCTTTATGGAATCCAAAACTGATTAGTTGGCAAAAATGAACAAAAATATCGTTGTAAAAATGTCTTTTTTTGTAAATTATTTTTTCGTTTTCAGTTTTTCCAACGGCTGTTGTGGCCGATGTTCGGTTGCAGCGCGACATTAACGACATGAACATGGCGAACACGGACAAGGCCGTATGGCGTACACCATCTAATGCACAGAAAAATATAATAGCTTATATATTTTTTTAATACAGAAGTTTTAAATATTTATGTTCAAGTTGCATAACAATTCAACATGAATTTCGTATGTATTTTTTATTATCTCTAGGCCACTGGGCCTATAAATATATTTTTGTATTCAATTTTGTAATTGAAATGCTTAAAAGTATTAAATACAAAAATCATATTTACGTATATGCTGGTATCGGTACTAAAATACCACAATTGTTTTTTTTTTCTGTGTACATAGTTTCAGCAGGGTGGAGTTGCATCAGTTGCTGACCCATGGTCAGGGGTTGCGGTTCATTCGAGTGCAAAGCCAAAAAACTTGTTCTCTGCCGGCAGATGGACACTGGACACGGAGTCCTCTGGTTCCTGTCGCTTCTCGGGCTGTGAGTCACCTAACAACTGCACAATGATGTTGTTTTCCCCACCAAACCCGCTCAGCCCGCTCAGCATGTCTGGCTAATAGTTTTCATTCAGGCTCATGCACTGCACATTGACCACAGAACCAGAAACGAACAGACCAGACCAGACCACTTCACCCGGCACATTTGTCATTCGCTCTTTGGGTTCCCATTTTCTGTGCCATATTTCACAAATAATTTTTGGGTACGCACTAGCGGAGGATTGGGGATGTCTAAAACCCAAGTAAGTCAAGGGTAGTCACTCATAATTTTGCCTTTATTGACGACATGTTTCAAAGACGAGTGGCATTCCTCACTCTTGTGTTCATCTGCCATTTGTTTTGAGTGTTTTAATGATAGTTTCTGAGTGTGTGTGCTTCATCATTGTCGGGAAACTTATCTGTAACAATGTCACCCTAATTTACTAGACTTTTGTCTGCTCAACGTTCCTGCTAGCTTGGGCAATTTGGTTTTCACCAAATGCATCGTTGTAAAATGGGCTATAATATTATTTTTCATTAAAATATATCTTTTCTAGAAAATATTTGTACCAGTAACGTTAGGTTTAAGCTTTAATAGTAGTCATACTGAAAAGATAAATCGTTAATTGACTACCCATTATCCCAGCCAATATGACGGACAATTTTCAATTGAGCCACAGAATGCGCTGAAATAAATTGACCTTAAAAAAATATTTAATATGCATGTATTCATATCATTTTCGAATAAATTTACAGCTTAGAAGAATCTTAGTCAAAGTAAAAGTGTTAAGTCATGCAATATTATTGAATGACAGCCAGTCCGAAAAAGACAAAAAAATAAATGTACAACAAATATAATGCCGAAACAAAATAAACAAGCAAAATATTTGATTATTTGTGAGAATAGTGAATAGTAAGTTGTGAAAGCGAAAAGAAGAAAAATCAAATTCAATAGTTTTGGTCATCAATCATTTTTGGAGGAGACTAAAAAATATATGTATATTCAAGCTGAAAGGTTATTTCTTTGCCGTTTATTTGGCCTGCCATGAAAATTGCACGTATTTCATTTAAATACGTATATACACAAAGACATTTTCGGCTCATTTTTGTTCGAAGCAATTGCTGCAGCAGCTGGACAAACATGATAAGGAGATGGCCACCAATCGAATCGTTACACGAAAGTCGAAAACTTCTATGAAAATAGTACAAAATAATTTACACACATGTGTATGCACAGCATGCGTAAAGAAAATTCAATTCTGCAATTTACATCCGAATGAATCGACTGAAGTCGAAAATTGATTTTTATCTTTTGTTCTCAGTAAATTGGTAAGAGAGAAAAATTGCTTAGATTTGCATATTATAAAATGAACTTTAACTTGCAACTGCTTTGGCAAAATGTGTTTTCTCCTTATTTTAGGGGCACAACTTGTGGACTTTAAGTCACCGAAAAATAGGACAATCCTAAATTGTGAGCAATATTAAGCCGCTTTAAATAAATTGAATACCAATTTTAATATTGAAAATTAAAAATAGAACATCAAGTAGATAGAAAATGTGTAAAATGGTAAATTAGATGAATTGGGATAGCAAAACCGAAAAACACTTCTTTAGCATCACTCTTATTACGGGTTTTGTGTTCCAGGCTGCAGCTGCTGTCGTTTTGGTGGTGTCATGCAAAAACTCAATAAATTTTGCGCAAACGATTTATCATGAGCTTGATTACGAAAATGCAGACACAATCATGGGTGTGTGTGCCCCACACGCACACATAGACACACTTAGACACACACATAGACACCCATGGACACAGTTGCATGCATAAAATAATATGGCAATATTATAATAGACATACAACAATGGAACCTCGCCTTTGGCTGCCATTTTTCACATGTCAGGGCATTGATTTGCAGTTGTTACACAAAATGGCGGCCGGGTACCGTTAGTAACCCACTAATGGTTTGTTGCCATCCCCTTTTTCTCTGTGTGCGTGTGTGTGTATGAGTGTGTGTGTGTGTCCCAAAACCATTTACTGGGTTCAAGAAAGGTTGCAACTAAATTAGCATAAATTGTGGCATGAAAATCGACATCAGAAAATGGCCTTCGACTATACAATGTGAAGTGTCGAGTAAATGTTTGAGCAGAGCCCTTATCACAATTGAACATTAACAGGTTTCGCTTTGATTTATGAATCACGCTGGCAGGCTGCCTTCAATTGAGTGGGTGGAATACAAATTAATAGATTAATATTTTATAATCGAATTTCGTTCGTGATTTGCATACTTGTTATGTCCTCAAGCCAAAGCCAAGACATTAGAGCAATCTCACCTGGAGGCTGTGCCTGAAATAACTAACTGCCCTTTGCCGGCACAGTCCGTCAAACATTTTCCATTAAATTTAATTTACTGCCAACGCTCCTCACCTCCGCAACCTGACAGGACCTCATCCAATGCATCTGGATGTCAAAGCGCCAGCCAGAGCCGAACGACATCCAAGTGCAAGTCCATGCACAGTAAATTAATTAACTTTATTGTCTGGGGCTGTCCGGTTCGTTATTTGATTAAACAGCTCTAACAGCATGTACACACATGCCTAAATGCATACATACAAATGTTCTTAGAAACAGTATATAGATTGCTCTATCAATTTGATGAGAACATTTATCATTTTTGGTTGCAGTTTTGAATCGAAACGTTAAAGTCTTTCCATTCTAATTTAATGGACTTAAGCTAATGGAGTTCGTGTTGAATTTTAAGAAGCTGTCATCATTGTCTTGAACAATATTAAATTCTATGCTAGGCTTCATTTATTTCATCAAAGATACTGTTATTAATGTTATATTTAATGCCTATTTAGTTTGAAATCTGCCCATTTAAGTCAATATTATAAGGTTTATTATGTTTAGATATGAAAACGTTAGAAAAATTTAAAAGGATTAAACAACAATTAGATTTAAAATTATAATAAGCATAGTAAATTTGTAAGTATACAAAATAATATTGTACATTATTGTTAAAATTATAACAATTGTAATTTATTATAATATTGAAATTATTTTTAAATATTTACTGTTTAATAAAAGCAATAAAGCAAATGCAATTTTAAACTGCACCCCCAATCTTTTTCTTTATACATATATATTTTTTTTCATATCTGCAACACAAAAAAAGATTCAAGATAAAGAAGAATACAATACATTAAGCAGTTGAAAGCAGAAGAATAAGATATTTCGATGAAAATGCGTTTTAAATTTTTGCTGAGCTTTGCGTGTCCCTTTTAACTTTCCTGTCAAAATAAAAAGTATGATTTTCAGACTTCATTTCGGCCACCGAATTGCACTTTCAGCCTCCGTCTTATTGATTGACTCTTTTATTTTTTCCTTTTTGTTCAACTGGTTTTTAAAAATTGATTCGTTGCAAAATAAGAATAGAAGTAAAAAGAAACTACCAATAAGATAAAAAAAAACTTTCTTGTCTAGTATAACTTTAAGTAAAAAAAATAATTTTAAAGAAGAATTATAATTGTGAGTCATTGTAATGTAACCTAGGAAAAGCAATGGAACTTTTTCTTAATAAAAAATGTATTAATAGAAATTTCTGAGGGGGCCCTTAGGAACTTCAATAAAGTCTGATAAATATTGTATGACGCAGAATTTTGTGACAAGTAACATAAATACAAATAAATCTAAAGATTGCGTGGGGTTCTTTGCATTCATTTCCGTTTGCAGTTGATAAGAAAGTAGATGAAAAGTAGATTCTCCAGAGAATTTATGTAGCGATAACCCTTTTAAAAGGATTGGTATATATTACACATCCAGTTTGTAAAATGCTCAGTTCAACTTCGGCCAGCAATCAAAAAAGTTCATTATGAAAGTCTTCAATTTAAATCTCTTAAGATTGTTGATGTTTTTCCTAGCGCTCAACGTATTAGAATTTGAGAAGGGAGAACCGATGTGGTAAATATCTTACAAAAGCGCAAGAAACGATAACTTTGGAAGCCGAAACTGTGAAATCATAAAAAACAGAATTGATTTAAAATAAACTATTTGTGATGTATAAATAAATTAACTCGCGGTGATCTCACCATTTAAAACAATATTAAACTACTTTTCCAAATCTGAAATGAGCGCACGGCGCAGTTACGTTGTAGTTAGTCAGTTACCTCACAACGGTTCAATTTCTGTGAAAAACTATTAAATTCTTAAACTTTTCTTTTAAATTATATTTTCAGTCCCCTCTTTAAGCAGTGCTCAGACCTAAAACATGATTATATTTCAACCACAACGACAACCACAGAGAAAACCTTAAAGTAAAGATTGGTACCCGACGATGCCGCAAAACCAAAGTTAAAAATATTAATAATATGCAAAACCTTTCCATATTTAATCAAAAACATTATTGATAATTGTAATCCCTTGTGTAAAATTGGCAACATAAATATACTACACTATCTTATGTGAACAAAACAAAAAATTTTTGATTTCGAGTTAGCAGGTTACTGTGCTCTACGGAGATCTATTTATTTAGGTATTTATAGCTAAGTTGTGAATAATAGCCGAAAAATAAATTAATTAACTAGCTCATTTACGCATCAGAACTTCGACAAGACCCGCTTGGGTTGCCTTATTTCGAAAACAAATATTGCCAGTCATTTCGCGTGAAACGTAACAAAAATTGTGTGGTCTTTAATAAAAAATCAAAAATATGTTTCTCTATACAATACTTGTTCGCAGTTTTTTTTTTTAAATTGGTCCGATTATTTTTTATTCAGTTTTTAAAAACTGATTAAGAAAATTAAATTTAAAGTAAATTATTTTGTTTTTAAATAAGAATATATTAACTGATTTGAACTTCCATTTTAGTCAAACGATTCTGTAGCTATTATTTTAATGTTTTCCATCGAATGCATTAATATCAACAACATCAGAATATTTTATGGGCAATGTTTTCACATAACACTAGCTTTGTTAAACTAAAAAAAAGGTTAAATCAAAGCAAAAAAAATGTTTTCATAATTTTTTTTCCTAGAACAGTGCACTGGTCTGAGAAATTCATATCAAATAAAAGGCAAAGAACCATCGTAAAAAAGACCAGTTCATTAGTAGTCAACACGAGCTGTGACGTATATTTATATCCAAACGCAATATTATTCTGTACGATTGCTTGGAACGCTTGTCAATCAAAAGCGCTTAGCAAACGAGTTCCCAGTTTCTTCAGAAGAGAATCTTTTACAGCCGAGTTCAAGCGCAATTAACTGCAGCTAATTGAACCTGAAATCGCAGAGAGATAGAACCCAGACGATGGGATTTTCACATTCAGTGGAGGGCAATACCACACGTTAAATCAATAATGCGGTTTTACCCGATCCGCAAAAACAAAAACACTGATAAGAAGCGATCGAGGCAGATTGGCAGAGTATAAAAGCGGATTGTTGTCACTGACAAAGGCATCAGTTCAGTTCTCACCTCTGTTCTACCTACTTTAAAGATGAAATTCCTTTCGGTTGCATTCCTGCTCGGCCTTTTGGCTCTGACCAGCGGTAATTATTAATTTATTAATTGTGTTATAGAAATTTACTAATATTGTCTTCCCCTTTAGCCACCCCTCTGAACCCTGGCAATGTCATTATCAATGGAGATTGTCGTGTTTGCAACGTCCATGGCGGAAAATAAGATGGAATTCGGCTATTAAGATGAAAATACATACGTTATGAAGCAATAAATAATGTCTTATCAATTTTTGATTGGACCACTTGAAATAAAATTCCCACGCTAATCTCTATGACAGCTGTAAAACAAATTCCGATTTAATCTCTGACCTAATTCCGTATACAATTATACAGTCAATCGAACATCTGTCGTTGGGCATTAACATTTCATTTCATTAATTTCTGGAACGGTTTGACAATATTGCATTTATATTCAAGGCCCAAATGGTTGGCTGATTTCGCTGGTAATGCTTGGCTGGGATTGCAGTTCATTGATTTGTTGTAAAATTGTTGCATAATTTCATTCATTTGTTGTTACCGCATTGTTGGGTGCTTTATTGTCTGGATTAAGGAACATAATGTACACTTAATATGCACATAACTGTTATGTTAATGTGCCAGTGAGACCCCTATTCCCATTCCCATCGATGGCGATTTTCCCCATTGCTCTACTGGTATTTGCATTAATTTATTAGCGTTTTCACAGAACTGAAAATGTGGCGCTTATTAAGGTTATCGTTTACTTTTTAGCACACATTATTCAATTCTTTTCAAAATTGGTAATAATGAATGCAATATAACATTGTTGGTTTTAATTTTGTTGTCATCGAAAATTTTAATTTGATTGTGTTCCAGATAATTTGAGAATCCAAATATGTCTTTTTATGCGTGCATAAATCCCAGCTTGTTTAATTTCGCGCTCATAAAAAAAATGTTAAATAATATGCATATTAACTGTTGAAAGTCAGCTAGATGAATGGTTTTTTAACTGGGCAATAGTGTTCTATAGAAATAATTAAAACACAACAAGGTCTATAAAAATATCAGATACAGCTATTATCCCCACGAAAATAAAATCAATATATGTTAACAACAATTATCTGGAGACTGTAACAAGTTGTATTTAAGAAAAGTATAATAACATTACTTACATATAACTGATTTATATATAACTGATCATATAATTGAAATACGAATTCTTAAAGTCCATATAGCTTACCTGCAAAAAAATAAAGAAAATAAATTAGAATGATGGCAATATAATTTTTCCAATCGTCAAGGTATTAAATGTAGGATTCTTTTTAAATATATTCCAGTTCTGCACGCGCTTCAATTGATTCACTCTGCAATTGCGAATGCAGATTTATGTCTCAGCAGCGCCAATAATCCAAATGCATTTTTGGTGGTTTTCTTTTTACTCTTTTGGCAGCAAACAGAAATTTCTTTTCACTTTTGCCACAAACAGAGTCACAAAGGAAGGCGTGCTGAGGGGGGGGGGAATCATCATCAGCCAACATGAGCTAGAGAGCGAAATAATTTCAGTACCCAAAAGAATCCCAATGCGCATAATTTAACTGAAGAGCCTTGCACTGATAATAATTTTCAAATATATGTCTATTTAAAAAAAAAATTGTATTTGCTTTAGTCTTTTGTTTTTAATTACTTATTTGTGTTTTATACAAAATAAATATAAATTTATTTTACACCACAGGAACGATTCGACCAACTTTTTTGTATAAAACCATTACTGTTTATGTTTACATAAACGACTTTGGATGTTAAATATTGTCGGATTGGATAGACATTCGAAGATCTTTTCGGTTAAAGAAATTCGTTAGATTTTATCAGGTGCTTAACATTGACTTTTAATCGCCTTCGGCCGGACCAAATAATGCCAAAACAAATTTTTTTCAGTGTGCTGTGCGGTTGTGGGAGTGTCAGAAGTTAGGGCGTTGACTGCATTTCATTTTGAGTTTTCAATAGCCAGCAAAATGGCAGCATGCTGTGCGGCTGAAAGCCGCAGAAAGGCCTAGATCAGGGGGTGTACGGGGGTGTATGGAAGCTGAGGATATAGCTTGGCTATCTCAACTTCAATACCCGCGGTGTGTGTGTGTGTGTGTGTGCTTTATCGCATAATCTCAGCCCCTAGGCCTTGGCATCATTTTGGTGATTTTTCTTGTGGTTTCTTTGGAGCTCTATGGCCCGATAATGATGTTAATGATGGGTTCGCTGATGTATTGCATACTTTTTGGCAGCCTGTGGAAACTGGATGGGCAAAACCTTTGCACAACTGAAAGGAAATTTTTATTTTTGCATATGGATCGAAATGTTGTTATCCTTTTTTATTTTTGGACTCTTTTTAGGTCTGGCTCTCAGCAAAATGTGAAGTTTATGGGAAGGCTCCCCAGAGAATGCTATAAACATTTTTATTGTAACAACTCGTTTAACGTTAAAGATAAAACACTAAAAACGACAAGCGAAAGGCAAAGCAGAACAAACAAGAGCAAAGAAAACTTCGACAGACCGACCACAACGCAACCCTCCTTTTGGCCAACCCGCTTTTTCCAACCTTTTTCCACTGCTGTTTAGCATAAAATTTACTGCACCAAGAAGCATTTGAACGTTGGCCCGGCCCGTAAATCCTACTAATCAAATTTATTACCCATATACAGGCCGACCAACCGCAAGCTATGCGACTCCCCAACTCCTTGTCTTTCTCTCAGTATAGCCCTCTCTTTCTGTTTCCCCTTTGAACTCCGACCATGTCTGGCCACTTCAAATGCCTTGGCAATATGCATATTAAATTTAATTAGAGCGACGGGTAAACATAAATTCATCCACAGGAATACGGAACCCATAATGACCGGACTTGAAAGGCAGCTTAGTGCTCAAAGCAAGAAATCTGGCATTATGTTTAGTGCTCTTTTTTATATAAAATAATTTAACTGAAATTATAACTTGATTTTATATAGAAATATTGATATAAATAATAAAATATTTGAGCTGATTATTAAATTTTAAATAAACATTTATAGAAAACTATTATATTTAAAAAAATATCAATTCAGTTATAAAAACAAAACATAAAACCTAATAATGGTAATTAGAATCCATTTTCTAGACATCAGTTCTTACTATATTTTGTTATCTTATAAAATCGAAGAGAATGTATGAATACTTTATTTCATTATAAAGCTAAAATTTAATGTAAAAATGCAATATTAGTTATTTAATTACTTTACACCCGCATGCCTTCTTTAATACTCCTTTAGGTTTCAGATCTTTATTTAAACATATATTAAATATATTATTAAATAATACTGCGCCATTACGCCTAATATTGGTATTATTAACAATTAATAGGCCTCTCTTATATATAGAACGAATCGTTTGGTTTATACACAAATATCCTTAAACATAAATTGCAGCTTAAAAGACCCCAAACGGTGGTGGCTTTTTTGGCTAATTTTGATTATTTTATGGAGCATTTGGGGTGTAGTGTTCCTCTGTTAATTGCCTTGCAGACACACAAGCTGGCTAATATACACACACGCACACCCAACAATTTGTTGTCAATTTAAATGGAGTTTGGTCCCAGTTCGGGGGATACTCTGATAGAAATTTTGCTCATTTTATGCTCTTTCCGGACTTGCCATGAATGTGACATTAATGAGCTCTTAGCTTATCCCACAGGCAAAAGGCCTCCAGTCGCTCCTGGTCACACAAGCTTTATGGCTATAATTTGTCCTTGGATTCGGATGGGGGAGCAAAAGAAGAGAGATTTGTAGTCGGAGGTGGTGCCCGAGTATGTTCATAATTAAATTGTTATTCGGCTGAGGAATATGGCCCTAAAACTGCCTGTTCATTTGAAGGTTATAAAAGGTCGCCCCTAACTCCTGATATCCCACTTATGTGGGTTTCACTGGGTGGGATTAAAAAATTACGTTTATGGCTAAATGGAATCCCCCTTTATGTGTG